ATATAAAGATACACAACATATCCTTCTCAAAATTTCCAATATCCCCAAAACCCCCCTTTAACCCTTTGAGGGTTTTGGTCGTACTAGTACGTAAATAACAAAAAGGCACAATACCGTGACTGGAACAATTTCACAAATAACCCGCACATAAAAAAGAGAAGCTTACGACGACGTTTCGGTCCGACTTGGACCATTGACAAAGTCACACTAACGAGGTGGAGCAGGACGGCTTTTATATAGCAGGAAGAGGTGGTAGTAGTAGTAGTAGTAGTAGTAGTAGTAGTACAAGAATTGTATATAATACCGCGGGATGAAATTAAAGGGACATCCCAAACCCCGGGCCCCCCAGTAGACGTTCGCCACCCCAGCCCAGCCACGGATGGCGAAACGTCCACAACAAAGAACCCAGACCCCGCCATGTGTCTTAATTTAACGTTTTGTAGTAGAAAAAGAAGAGGTAGTGTAGTGGTAGGGAAAAAAAGGGGAAAAAAGGAAGAGACCCAGTAAAGTAAAAAGGAAGGGGAGCACTGAAAGAGAGCTAGTCCCCACAGGGGGAGGCAAGCGCAAGAGGTGCGTGAAAGGGGAAAGTGGTTGAAATAAAATAAATAAAGAAGGAACAGAAAACACGAGAAGGAGAAGGGGAAAAGCAACCCAGAGGAGAAAAGGGAGAGGGAAAGGGGAAAAGAGGAGAAAAAAAAAGAAGAAGAAAAAGAAAAAGGAGGAATAAGGTTTTTAAATCAGAGGTTTTCTAAAGTTTGGGCTTTTTACAATGTAGGGGAGGGAAGCATCTACGAGACGAAGCCGGGGCTAAGGTTCATAAAAGGGAAAAGTTGTGTTTGAGAGGTTAATTGACGGGACTGTTCGGTTGGAAGTATTGAAGACAGTTTTAGAAAAAGACCAGTCAATGGGAAAGGCTAGTGATGAATGGTTTGAAAAAACCGACAAGTTAAAGATTGAGCATTATGAGATATGGGAATCTTTATTCGGAAAAGTTTCGCCACACAGTGGTTTCTTAAGTCCAATACAAGAGGAAGGCATAAGGAAGGAGGGAAGAGGAAATCAGTCCCTCAACCTGGAGTCATGTGTTCGTCCTCAATTTTGTAAATGTACAGATAGGGCCGTAAGTGGCTTTATACTGTAGAGATGTGGGTGAAGGGCGGAGGCGGGGTATAGTGGTCCACCACTAGTCGAATGGGTTTCGCCAAAAGGTTGAAAAAAACACTTGTTCAACCTTTGGACAAGACCTACTTGATGTGGTGGTACCAACTATGCCCCCCGCCTCCGCCTGCTTCCCCTCACTTCTACGTTATAACCCCAGTCTACGGCCAATGCTGTACATTCTCAAGTTTGGAGGGGACTGAAAAACATCGACTCCAGGTTGGGGGACTGATTCCTCATTCTCCTCCTTCCTTATGCCTTCCCTTTGTATTGACTGAAAAAAGCCTGGGGGGGGAAAACGTTTCCTGAATAAAGATTCCTATGCTGCTAAGTGTTCAATTTTCAGGATGGCTATGATCTTGATGACAGAAAAAGGCTTTTTTGTGTCGGCAACCTAACACTTTTTTTTTGCCCCTAAGTCTGTCAGAAAGAGATCGACCAGTTTCACCGAGTAAAGAAGAGGACAGGAGGAAACAAAAAAATAGAGTAGACACCAGGAATCTGTAGAGGGGGGGGTATGAAGGATTATGGAAAAGTGTTGTCTGGCGGAAAGGTAAGCTTTTAAAGTCTAAGGACGGAGAGAATTTTTTGAGATTGAAAGACCCGGGAAAGTAGGGGGAAAGGGAGGGATAGAAAAGTTCCCCTGGTGAGAGTTTGGGAGAGAAGAAATTGCGTCTAGTTGAACCTCTTAAAACACAACTTTCTTGTATGAACCTTAGCCTGGCTTCGTCTTGAAGAGGCCTTCCTTCCCCCTACATTGTAAAATGCTCCCAAAATTCAGAACACCCTGCTTAAAAGATTCCTCACTTTTTCTTTTTCTTCTTCTTCTTTTTCTTTTCCTCTTCCCCTTTCCTCTTCCTTTTCCTTGGGGGTTTTCTCTCTCCTGTCTCGTGTTTCTTTTCTTCTTATTTATTTTTTTCACCCCTTCCCTTTCACGCACCCCTTTTCGCTTGCCCCCTCTGTGGGTATCTAGCCTTTGCAGTGCTCCCCTTCTTTTTATTTTCTGGCTGTCTTCCTTTTTTCCCCCTTCTTCCGCTACCACTATATACTCTTCTTCTTCTCTACAATACTGTTGAAATTTAAAACAATGTGCGGCGTCCAGCTGTCTTTGTTGTGGACGTTTCGCCATCCAGTGGCTGGCTGGATGGCGAAACGTCTACGATGGGGATGCCCGGGTGTTGTGCATGTGTTTAATTTATCCTGTCGGTTTATATACAATTCTTGTCAGTGGGGCCCCCCTTAACGATTTTAATCCGTGCAAGAGGGCTCATCGTTATGCGAAATAATCGTTATGCGAATGAATTTTCCCCATAAGAAATAATGGAAATAAAATTAATCCGTGCAAGACGCCCAAAAGTTGAAAAAATTTTTTTTTTTCCAAATGAAATGTAATTTTAATACACACAAATGAAAAAGGCATGCAAATTAAATGACACTTCTTTTTTGAAGATCTGGTGATGATTTATGGGTGGGAGGAGGGGAGAGCATTATCTTTTTAGTTTTTAAGGGGAACCCCCTTTCCTTACACTTGAGGTAGCAAGTCCTTTTCCCGGGGTTCTTCCTTCTTCTTTTAATGCCACAGGACCAGCTTGAGGTCATGGACCCCTGTCGCACAAAAAATTGTCCCTAGAGCTCTGTACCTCCCGTTCCTTTACGATTTGTCTAAAATGGGCCACAAAATTGTCATTGAAATAGTCACCAGCACGGCTTGCAACAGCTTGTCAGGGTGATTTTATCTATAAAGGGTTTTCAGTTCAACCCCCTGTGACACTTTCCTTAATCTTTGAAGTAGGCACAATGGTTCCACAACTGGCATAGGCTTTCAGGGTTGCCCCAAACCCTTCAAAACCTTAATTTCCCCACTAATTTTCACCCCTTTTTACCCCCGGGTTGGCATAGAAGCTTTCTTGGGGCCTTTGGGCACTTATTTTCCGAAACGCACCGAAAACACTGTAATAATACGAAATATTCCGAGTTTGCGGTGTTCCGCGGGGGCTGGCTGGTAAAAAAATGGGACGGCGGCACATGTGAGGGCACTTGGAGCGTCTCGGCGAAAAAACGGGTAAGCGGGTTTTTAATCGGTATGCCGGCAAAAATTTTTTCGATAAAAATAATCGTTATGCGGAAAAAAACGCTATGTTGCCATCGTTTGCGGGGGGGTCCTGTATATACTACTCTACCACCCCTTTTCCGCTATATTAGCCCCGCTGCTCCACCCTTTGTGGACTTTTTTCAAAGGCCAAGTCGGACCCAAAGTCTCGTAAGTTCTTCTTTTATGGCGGGTTATTTGTGTATTGTACGCTTACGATAGGGGTTTTTGACGTACTAGTACGCATAAATTCTAGCGGCCTAAAATTAGTGGGAGAAAGTGGTGGCCTTCTTGAAAGAAGGGTCTTGTGGTCGTGTGCACAGTCTAAAAAAATCCCGCAGCACACAGTGATAAATGAGAAAAAAAAAATTTGCCCTTTTTTTGGAATAAATATTTTCATTAATCCATCTATGTTTTCTTCAAAATTATATAAGAAACACGTTACATAGCATATAAACATGCAATGTTTATATGCTATAGAGTGGTGAGTACCGGCAAATCAAGGAGGAGGAGGGTGAAGGGTAAACATTACGTTTTCTGGTTCAGCATTAGAGAAAACTGTGAATCTGGCGTCTAGCCCAGTCACCGCCCTTCGTAAGTGTTTGTTTACCATTCCCGGCATGAATTATTTATTACTTCTCCCTTTGTTTATGATGGCATCTAAAGGCAGTTGTTAGAAATGATTAAAGTCAGTGAACATGGTATGTTGATGGTATTAACATGGCTGTGTAATGTAGCTGGGGGGGCTACATACGTGTACCTACATCTGCCGCTGCCTACACTGACTTCCTACAAATAAGTACTACTCACTCCTCGCCCTACATTAAGACTACAAATATTTTAAGGTAAGTAATGAATGTACTGGGGCAGTAAATGACAAAGAAGGGAAGTAACCCTAGAGAGGGTTTAGATACCTGAAGTCCTTATGGAAGGGGGTTCCCAACTCCCTATTCCCTCCTTGCCTTCAATACTTTCAAGAGTCTTCAATAAAGGTATGTAATGTTCATTTACCATTGTTTTCTGTGTGTAAAACTATAGTTATTCTTTAAAAAATGTATTTTTTTTTTTTTAAATATTTTTGGGTGTCTGGAACGGATAAATTGGATTTATATTATTTCTTATGGGAAATATTACTTCGATTTTCAGCCATTTTGGATTTCGGCCAACCTTCTGGAACGGATTACAGCCAAAAACCGGAGGTCTACCATATAGTCGTTTACATAAATACCTATGATAAAGTTTACCATATTTTCCAGTATATCAGGCATGCCTTTTTTTCCACAAAAAGTCTTGGAAAATCACCCTGCACCTTATATACTGAAGGGTAGGTTTTGGGAAGCACTTCCTGGCTTTTCTAAGGCTTTGAAAAATGGCCAGCATCACTACTTTTGTGCCATTATTAAACAAAATTAAGGGTTATTTTCAGGCCACGGAAACTGAACCCGCGGATATGTGGATCCTACTGTAGTCTGCAAATAATTGACATATCTGACAACATGCAACTTACTTTACACCTTAGCTTGAGTGTGCCAGTGCACACCCAAGCTAACAGTTACAGAATGTAGAGATAAAGAATGAGAAGTCGCTTTATCCAACCCTTTTCTTTTATGATATATTTCATATTTTTCAAGCCAAATGCTTTTCCACCCAATGAAAATGAGACACACTAATGATAAAATTCACTTATCACAAGTTTTGCAACCTTATTACAAATAAAGATAAGTAATTATACAGAAAGAAATAAAACACATGATTTTCCCAAGTACAGGGTTTTTAATAGTAAAATAAAACCATTGTAAGGCCACCTGCCTTACAAAACATGAAGAGTAGAAGTCTGTTAACATTGAAATGCATTTATAACTATACATACTAATAACATGTATGGATAAGAAAGCTGTATAGTCCTTATATAAAAAAATTTCTGCATTGTTTCAATATCCATACATAAAGAAAGCCATTATATTGATGTTAAATATAGAAAGTGTGCAGATGTATATTTACAAGTAAACACATATCATTATTCTCAACAAAGCAAGCAGCATAGTTAATGCTGAGAAAAATTCATCGGCACCATGTAAAAACAGTCACTTTGGTCCACTGGATGCTCTCTAAATTAGAACTCCATTTTATTCCACATTCTGATTAACAAACATTTTTATTTCTTGTATGATCACACAGTCTTCATGATTTCAGGACTATATTTAGGTGAAAGTAAGTCCAGCTTCCTTATAGGTGTTGAAGATCTTCTCAATGGCATTAACGTATGCAGCTGTACGGAGATCAATGCCAAGATTGTACTTAATTGCTGTTCTCATGATGGCCTGCAATTTTGACAAAAGACAGTTGTTTTAAACACATCTTTAGAAACAGTGACCTACTTTTTTTTAAGAGCACTACATTTAGAGTTAGATAAGCCTATCAGTTATCTTAACCTCATTCCCAGAATGGGAGTGGCTCACGTATGAATAAACCCTCAGAAGTCATATATTTTCAATTTACATCATGTTAACATTTCTCCAAATTGCTGTACTATAAAATACAAATTTGATTATTGCATAAATAGTTTGTAAAATCCCAATATAATAATGAGATAGCACAAAAAACCTCATACTGTGCCTCAAGAAATGAGGAGGCAGTAAATATACAAAACTCCTTCTGGCAATGGATGGTCTGGCATCTCTTAAATCAAGACAAAATTACAAAGGCAGCCACAAACAGCATTGTGTGTAGTGCCTACAGATAGTGTGTGTAGCCTGATTCTAAGTATATTTTGCCAACATTTAACCCTAATCATGGCTAGGGTTAAAAGGCTAGAACAACATTCCTGCATGATGGAACAAGAACTAATAAATTTCTTTTGATGCATAAAAAATTACACAGGGAAAGATCAAAACACATGAAACAACTTTACTTGGATGAAATGTTTAAAAAGATAGTCAAGAGTGTGTGTCATAGCATCAGACCTTTATCTGAAAATCCTGTTCCTTCAAGTCCCCTAAGATGTCTTCCCCTGTAACATCACAAATCCATGATGAAACAGACAGTAATCCTGACAACTCTCAACTTACAGACCTTTGTAATGAGCTCTACAGTTCCTGTAAAATTCTAAAATTTACCACTTTGGGAGCTGTAGTACTAAAACATTCTTTGCCAGTACAGTAATTAACCCTTAAACTGTCCAAACGTAGACCTACGTTCGCATGTTTAGCGCTCTGAATATTTTGGGATTTTTTTTTTGTTTTGTTTAAAATGAAGAGTGCATTTTTCCCAGAGTCTCCGAATTTTGTTGTACTGCACACATTGAGTGCACAAACCCATTCTCTTATGTCTAGGCAACTCAGGCCTATTGTGCCAAGGTTGAAAGCATGTAAAATAAAATGTAGATCTACATTCGGAGTGCTACGCATGTGAAAGAAGATCTACGTTTGGACAGTAAGGGTTAATAAGCTTGTTTCATTGATACTAATGGTTAATGTAAGTTTCTAGCAGTCCATAGTGCTTTAGACATGGGAGGTGTATTGTTAAATAATTATTATTACGTGACCTTTGTAGGTCTGGCAAAATAGATATTCTGAAAAATAGGCATTTCAAATTCCTATGGATTGAGAGGAAAAACTGAAGTTCAGAACTAATTTAGGGTTTAAGAGCAGGAAGGATAAATGTTTGGTACTGAGCAAGACTAACACTTAGAAAAAAAAAAGGGGGGGGGGGGGATGAACAATAATCTCAGTATGCTGATAAAGGAGGTTAATTACTATGGTTAATTTAGATGAGTACAAAAAATTGAAAGAAGTTCTGATCATCATCTCATTTTACCAGTTTTAAAAGTATGAAGACTTTTGATGAAAATATAAGATTAAAATAATGTATATACATTTCAAGTAAAAAAGTGCAAAAAATAAAAAATATTACTGTATTACTTGGAACTTACCCTGGCAGAACGCTCCATGGTATAATCCAGACCAGAATGGACAATGTCCTTTTCTGAGGCACCCTGTATCATAAAAACAATATGAATTTTAAGAATATACATTGCACATAAAAATTCCAAAAAGGAAAATTAACATCTATTTTAAATTATAAACAGGTCTTATTTTAAATGTAATAATTTCAACTTTATATTATTCAACATGAGAAAAACATGACATACATTCTTGCACAACAGTTTTAAATTTGGCTTTACTTTTGTTTGTGTGCAACAATGGAATAACTGCATTATTAGGTTTCAATGCATTAAATAATTGAGTGAGTTCAAGAACAGAAGAGACAGGGTTCTGAAATCTGCTTAGGGCCTCATCAGCCAAAAAGCAATACGTAATTCTTTAAAAAAAAAAAAGGTTATCCCTTCTCTCACCTCTCTTACATATACAGTGGACCCCCTGTTAACGATATTTTTTCACTCCAGAAGCATGTTCAGGTGCCAGTACTGACCGAATTTGTTCCCATAAGGAATACTGTGAAGTAGATTAGTCCATTTCAGACCCCCAAACATACACGTACAAACGCACTTACATAAATACACTTACATAATTGGTCGCATTTGGAGGTGATCGTTATGCGGGGGTCCACTGTACTGTATTTGTCAAGCATTTTTAAAGCACTTAGCCTTAAATTTTAATGGACAAATTACATAGCCTGAAAGTATCCATTGCATTTATCCCCAGACACTCCTTGATGGGAATTGATAGCCTCAATTTACAAGCTCAAGATATTCTTCCTCACTTGTACCTGATATGTTAAGCATTTACTGCTAGCTGAACACAAAGTGGGTGTAAGGAGACATCCATATCTCCCTCCCAACCATGGATTCTACCGCAAACACTTTCAGGTACAAATCAATTTCTCAACTTTTTAAAATATAGACAAACAGTTTTATAAAGTACAGCACAGCCTTGGTATGTCCTCATAAAGAAAATTATCTTACACCAATTCCTACAATTACATCTATTTATAAACCCCTTTATATCACTCTTGCATTATAATTTTTGTAATTATTTGCTTAAGGGAATGGTAATTTCTCCTAAAATGCTACCCTATACTAGGTACTTCTGGAACTTAAAATCATACCAATGGAGGTAGGAAGGGGATGAGGAGTGTGTGTGATTAAAGGATAATGAAGCTGATACAAAGTGGGATTTGTCAAAGATGCTCTTTGTTGATGACAATTCTTTCTTACAGGATATTCTGAAGAGAAATTGCAAATATTGGTGGATGAATTTAGAAGAGTTTCTAAAAGAGGGGAAAATTAAGTGAACAAATTAATAAACAAGGTAATGAGAGAAATAATAATAATAATGAATAATCAAATTAAGCAATAAACTTGAAGGGTTCAATATCGATGATAAGAGTAACAAAACGTTTAGGCAATGAGAGACTGGATATCAGATTGGAGAGAGGGAATATGTATTCAGATGTCTGGGAGTGGATATGTCAACAGATCTTTCTATGAAAAAAAAGGTGAACCACAGAACAGACGAAGGCAAAAAGATAAACCATACCCCCGGCCGGGATTGAACCCGCGGTCATAGAGTCTATGCCACTTGATGCCTCTTTTACACCATAATACAAACCACTCCTCTAACCTTCCCATATGACCACATTTCACTCAACCCACATTTCAACATTTAAGAACTTTCATCTAAGTCTTTTACATATGATCTGCTTACAATGTAAAATACTTTACTGCAACTACCACAATCTCATGCATCATAATTTCTAAATAAAACATTATGGGCCTATGAATGACATGGAATACCTTCCTCTTTGAAATACATGTATATTTGTTATTAAATGTAAAATCCTTATAACCTCTACATAAAAAAAAAAAATTCTTGGTACTATAGGCAGTTATTCTCTAAGACTTTATGCATTCTTCCATACTACCATTGCCATTATACAGAATTTGTACAATTATTTAGTACCTTTCCTAGTTTTGCCACTATCGCTTTTCCTGATCATAGACTAATTATGGATGCTTTTACCTCAATTATTTCCATTTACTTTTGCTTATCTATGTTTTCTTCTTTCAACAACCCGGCCGTATCCCACCAAGGCAGGGTGGTCCAAAAAGAAAAACGAAAGCTTCTCTTTTTAAATTTAGTAATTTATACAGGAGAAGGGGTTACTAGCTCCTTGCTCCTGGCATTTTAGTCACCTCTTACAACACGCATGGCATACAGAGGAAGAATTCTGTTCCACTTCTCCATGGAGATAAGAGGAAATAAACAAAAACAAGAACTAGAAAGAAAATAGAAGAAAACCCAGAGGGGTGTGTATATATATGCTTGTAAATGTATGCATAGTGTGACCTAAGTAGAAGTAGCAAGACATACCTGAAATCTTGCATGCTTATGAGACAGAAAAAAGGACACCAGCAATCCTACCATCATGTAAAGCAATTAAAGGCTTTCATTTTACACTCACCTGGCAGGACAGTAGTACCTCCCTGGGCAGTTGCTGTCTACCAACCTACTACCTAGAGCTTATCTATTTTTTTTTTTTCAACAAACCGGCCATATCCCACCAAGGCAGGATGGCCCAAAAAGAAAAACAAAAGTTTCTCCTTTTACATTTAGTAATATATACAGGAGAAGGGGTTACTAGCCCCTTGCTCCCAGCATTTTAGTCGCCTCTTACAACACGCTTGGCTTACAGAGGAAGAATTCTGTTCCACTCCCCCATGGAGATAAGAGGAAATAAACAAGAACAAGAACTAGAAAGAAAATAGAAGAAAACACAGAGGGGTGTGTATATATATGCTTGTAAAAGTATGTGTAGTGTGACCTAAGTAGTAGTAGCAAGATGTACCTGCAGTCTTGCATGTTTATGAAACAGACAAAAGACACCAGCAATCCTACCATCATGTAAAACAATTACAGGCTTTCGTTTTACACACTTGGCAGGACGGTAGTACCTCCCTGGGCTGTTGCTGTCTACCAACCTACTACCTAGAGCTTATCTATTTATATATATTAAATGCATTAGCCTACATTCAGAGGTGGTTTTGAAGGAGTTTCTCTTTACAATTTTCATTGGGAATATCTTCTGAATACTAAAATAACTCATACAATAGCTAGTAAAACTACTATATACTGTCTATAGTAATGGAGTGACTGCACGAAGGGGTCTGAGTAGAGTATTTCTATACCATATCACAAGATATCTATAGGGAAATTTTATTTTATAGCACTCCCTATACAAACTGAGCATGTCCTTGGAAATAATAATACAGTACACCATTAAAGGTATATAACTAGTGCAACAACAGTATGAATTAAAAGCATAAGAAAAAAGTGCAAAAACCAGAAGTAATGTGAGATAGACTAAGAAATGAAATAGAAAATATAGTACCCTTGTTAAAATGCTACAGAGGAAGGTTATAGATTCCTAGAGCAATAAAGCACATTATATGGTCTATATGCATGTCTGTATCTAACTAAATGCAATTAAGCATGATCATCAAGATACTTACCCATATCAAACATCAAACATCAAACATGATTTTTGAAATGTAATGAAAAAGCAAGTTTGACTTAAAAGACAAATTGTTCCTGCAGTACCTTTTTTTTTTTTTCGAGACTCCCATATAACCAAATTCCACATTAAAGCACAAAAGGGGATATTTGACTGAATTAATTATCAATAATTTCTTGCATTTTAAATATATATTACAGCAGAACCTCTTACATCTAAAATTATGTTACCTGAAGAAAATGAATTACCCTTGATCTACCAACCAAGAGAAAGTCCATCAGTCAATATTGTGACACCACAGCTTGATTGCACTTTTATTTGTTTTTGCTTTGTTTTACAAGCCACTAGTCAGTGCACTGTTCAGGGTTTTGACCATTTTTGCATACAGTATGGTGTAAATTTACAGTAATGGGTGATCAGAAGTGTCATTCACCTCTTCTGAGTATTGGTGATAGTGGTAAAGAAGACAGTAGGAGTATGTGTTTATAGAAAGTAATATTAAGTGACAGATGCTGGGGAAATGTTAGGCAGCATTTATAAATTAACCCATAAACAGGTCTATAGGGACAACTTGCTACCCCAATGTTTTTTTCCTACGATGAATGGAGTGAAGATCTACAAGCCTACAAGCCTCTTGATAATTTTAAAAAATCTTGTATAGCACCTAAATATTAATAAGTGTTTAAGTTTCATTTTTATTAACCTATTTGCAATACACAAAGCGATCTATTTTATTCCATCATTAAAAAATGCTTATGCACAAGAAATTTTTGCAATTAACCTTGCATGTCCCTGCTAATTCTGCACATATTTATTTACCTTCATCAGACTATATGTTTTACCATACATACAACTTTTACTTCAACTACTCAGTTTTTACTTTCAATAATTAAACATTTTTAAATGATAAATTATGATGCTAAGACTTTCATTACATCTGGGTTGGTCAAGATATGCCTCTTTGCCTTGCACATGTTTAATTTTCCCTATCAAATAAAATTTATATTGCAAATGTCATGAGTCACTGCTGTTTGGAGTACTACAGGTATTATACAATAACATTACTTCTTTCAATCATTTGCTCTCCATGACTTCCATTTTTTTTATGTGCAGTATATATATTCATGCAGGAGGCATCATATATATGCATGCACATCAATTCATCACACAGATAATGAATAATTTGGGAGGGTGTGTAAAAGAAGGAAATCATAAGTAAATATAGGTGAACCACAGAAATGATGAATGGAAAAAAACTGGGTGGTATAAAAACAAAAAACAGGTAATATACCAAAATAAAGTGATACCAACATTGTTGTATGGGTGTGAAGCAAGGGTTTTGAATGTTGCAGTGTGGAGGATTCAGGAGGCAGCAGAGACTGAGAAATCCATCGACAACATGCCCATGTACTTAGCCCCAGGCCCAGATTCGTAGAACTCTGTGTTCATTAAGAACTACAAGAAACCCTTCTCACGGGCTCTAAGTATGCTATGGAGAAGGAGCATAAACACAGGTGATAT